CCTGAACCCTAAACCCCAAACCAGGGTATAAGGCACAAAACTTTCATAGGGCCTGAAAGGTTTCATAGCGTTTTTTTGATATAGAAGCCTAAATAATTAACAATAATATTCCTCATAGGGCTCCTTATTTATGGCACGTCGTAGCGGTTTGGAGGCTTTTGAGGATAGGATTTGATGGGATTTCGAAGAGCTTCAGAGGGTTTTCTGGAGTTTTATACGGCTCCACAGGGTTGTTATTGGGTGTTCGTTTTTTTAAACTAAGAGTATTATGGGGCTTTGTAAGGTTTCATGGGTTTTCTAGGGCTTTACAGGGCTATGCTATACTGGGTTTCAGAGTTCTATGCAAGGCTTTGGGGTTGATTCAGGGTTGGTAAAGAGGTTACTAGAAGGGCCACTATCACTTAGTAGCTGAATTACTACACTAATAAACTTTTTGGGATAATGTGATCCCTGATAGAACTGAAAGTGTGCACTTTTTTGTGCTTATGAAAGATAAACCTTTCAGAGACTCAGAGATCTCAGACTACTGAGGGTTTAGGGTCCAGCTGATATAGGCAAATACCAAATCTCCCGAATAGTCTACATACTATGTGGGTACATGGACCCTTAGGGTTTAGGGTTCAGGGTTCTTCGGTGTGGGCTGTGAGGATTTGGGGGTTCGGATATGTTTGTCCATTCGAGCTTCATAAGCCTAAGCTCCAGCGAGGAAAGGCTAAGACTAGGACATAAGGCTATAAGGTATAAGAGACCCCATCCTCTACCACTTTTAGAGTTCAGGGTCTGTTTAGGATTGCAGGGACCCTATAAACTTCTTCGTCGTTTCGGGGTGGAAGAAGGGGCTTCCGAATCCTTGAACCCCGGCTAGTTTCGGGTTGAGGTTTCTGCAAACCTAAGCCCTGTCTAGTTGGTGTCCCCAAATCCTGCACTCCTGAATCACTGAACCCTAGGCACCTTATAAACCCTAAACGCTAAACCCTGTAAATCCTAAACCCTATGATTCCTATAAGCCCTAAGACCTAAACCCCAAAAGCCCTATAAGCCCTAAACCCTATAAACCCTAAACCCTTTAAACCCCAAGCCCTATAAGCCCTATAAGCCCCAAGCCTTCTAAACAAAACCCTCAGCCCTAAACCCTATAAGCCGCAAACCACCGAAGCTACCCTAAACCCTAGACCCTAAACCCTAAACCGTTACCGAAGGTCTAGCATTTCGCAGCTCATGCACGCGCGGCGGGCGAATCGCGAGGCGCAAGCCAGCGGGGCGGGCGCCAAGGACCTACCGAGCGAACCTACGTCAGGGGTTTAGGGATCTAGGGCTTTAGGGCTTTAGGGGTTTAGGGCTTTAGGGGTTTAGGGCTTTAGGACTTTAGGGCTTTAGGGCTTTGGGTTTCATTAGGCGTAAGTTGGGGCTCAGGGTTTGGGGTTTTAGCTCACTCTCGAAGTCTTGGATCTTGTTCCGCGTCTTCTTGGAGGTCGGGGATGGGAGGTTGAGGCTCGGGGATTCTATCGATATTCAGGGAATCAGGACACGGTACACAGGGTTTGCACGTGCGTCAACACGGTCTGCCGGGTGAGCGCTTGGGGATTGAGCGTCTTGGGACATGGATGGACGCCGGGAGCTCGCGAATCTAGAACCAGCATCTTGAGTCCACAACACCCTGCTCTAATTTGTCACATGTTGACAACCTAGCCACGGTAAGCCCGGAGCCCTAAACCCTAAACCCCAAAGGCCCTGAACCCCTAAACCGTGTACTTGCAGCAAGATATTGAGGGCTTGTTGCAGTCGCTTGGGGCAGATCCTAACCGTTCTTTGTTTCATATTTACATAATATAGGGGTCTTAACGATAAAATGTACTGTCATCATAATGAGGAACCCCAAACATGGTACTGGTAATTTTCTAAGCGCCTATATGTCTACTTAGACCTTCTCCATGATGCTGGTTTCTACAAGGCCTTGTGTAGGAGTTTTGAGGTTCAGGGTTCAGGGTACGTAGTTTCTGGGTCCTTGGTGTAAATTTACATTTTTGTGATTATAAACCCCCTAATAAGGATTAAAAATGAACATGTTTAATATGGCCCCAACAGGGAACCAGGTTTAGGGTAGGGTTCAGGGTAAACCTTAAACCCTAAACCCCAAACCCTACACCCCTAAAGGTTTAGGGTTTGGGGTGTTTAGGATTGAGGTGGTGCCGGTCTGGTGATGAAAGTTCTCGAACTCTGAGGCCGCCCCTCTGCTCTGCAGCAAAAGCTAGGGTTTAGGGTTCAGGGTTTAGTTGTTTAGGGGTTTAGGGGTTTAGGGGTTTAGAGTTTAGGGTTTAGGGTTGAGGGTTTAGGGTTTAGGGTTTAGGCTTCCTACCTAGACCGAAGGAGGTTGCCTGGCCCTTCCACGGAGCCAAACCCCCCGTTCCAAAGCCCAAAAGCCCCAACCCTAAACCCGAACTCCTAAACCCTAACCCCTAAACCCTAAACCCTAAGCCACCTCAGCCCCAGCCTCAAAGCCCCCGAGTCCAGGACATGGCTTCCCTGGATGGCCTGCAGGGTGGTCTCAAGGAACTCCTCGGCGCGGTCCTTAAGTGAGGTCAGGCTTTTCAGACTTTCTAGAGTTTGATACTCTTGTTTTCCGGGGTTTTAGGGTTCATGGCCAGTTTTAGGGTCCGGTGAGAGGATAGGGCTGCCTAGGAACATTGATGAGTGTGTGCTGTGTAGTTGAGCTTCCTTTTGAGGATGCTAGCGGCCCGTTAATAGCCTTCAGCTTGGACTTGAAGCAAAACTCTCAACAGCAGCAAGCCAAAGTCTAATTGTTTTGGGTTGTTAAGGCTCTGAGATTATACTGAGGCCTGTCTCGGCGCATCCAGGAGTACGTGCGGGCCGTCCAGTCGGGAAAGGCCACGATGGAGATCAAGCGTAGATTTGGGATCTCAGCAAATAAATGGGTTTCAGAAAGTTAATGTAGGCCCCTGCTGAGCACAGCTTTCTCTTTCAAGACACGTAAATAGACATTAACCCTTAACCCAAAACCCTAAAAGCCTAACCTATACTTATTGAAGGACGGGTAGTTAGCCATAACGGGATCCTGTTCCGGGGGGTCTGAATAAGAGGGCCCTGCAATGTCAGAAATCTCCGTTTAAGCCACCCCCGCCACACGGGTCAGGGTGGGGTCTCCTCACAGAGACTCCCATGTCCCTGAATAAGGGATTTAGGGTTTACGGCTTTAGGGCTTTAGGGCTTTAGGGTTTTAGGGTTTAGCGTTTAGGGGGATATTCCTTTCGCGATCTGATGTGGGATTTATACAAAGGCAGCGTAGACAGCGCTCGTGTACTTGGGTCTTACTATGGCCTCCAGGCACACGCACACACACACACAGGCCTGAAACCCCAAACCCTAAACCGCCAACCCGAAACCCTAAGCTGCACCCCCCTGAGCCCTAAACCCCAAACTAAACCCTGAGCCCTGAACCCTAAACTCTAAACCCTAAGCTAAACCCTAAACCCTGAACTCCCAGCTTCACGCCCCTGAGCCCTAAACCTTCAAGTCTAAAGCCCAGGGAGCTGCAAGGCAGGACTTTTTCGGCCGGCTCTTATTGGTGGTCCTAGGTTGCTTAGAGGTTTAGAGGCTTAAGACGGGTGTTGGGGACCTTTTTTTTTCCGGTTTTAGGCGCTTAGGGGGTTGTTTCGGGGGTTTAGGGGTTTGTGGTTTAGGCGTTTAGGGTTTTATGGTGGGTTTAGGGCTTATTGTTTGGGAGTTTAGGGTATGCGGTCATACATTTGGCCAAGAATAGTTCCACGAGAGCCGTTGTGTCTGCCTTTTGGGGACGAGGCAGGTTGCAGTGACAGTGATCCAGGGACGAATCCCCCAATCAGATCCTCATAGAACTCCCGGATAGTAGAAGCCGTATGAAATTTAATAACGTCCACAGCTGAGGCATGGGTACTTCGATCGAACTTTCAGCTATGATATACGCTTCCATCGCCGCGCCCCTCAGCGTTTCTGTTCCAGGGCACTTGGGCTCATGGAAAACATTGCATCCGGCAACCTTTTCTAGCCGCAAACCTTTCCTCAACTGCGGACCTTTCGACGCAGCGGAAAGGTCTCCAGGTCATGTCGGAACTTTCTACGTTCATTTCCGGTCCTCACTAAGGATCTCCATTATAGTTGGAGTCGTTGACTAGGTAAGTAGCATCCCGTGCCCTGTGATTTGTCCGCCTGCTGCGGCATTTTGCCCAATTTCCAGGTGCAGTGAAGCACCGCATTCGGGGGTTTCGGCCTTTACGGTTCTGCAAGGCCCCCTAAACCCTAAGCCCTAAACCCCCTTCGCCGTTTTGAAACCGAACCGGGGGTCTTCTTGGTATCAGGGCAGACGAGCGCTGGAGAGCCGGGAGAGGTTGTGTCTTAGACTTCGGAGGAGGGTTTAGGGTTTAGGGTTTAGGAAAGCACAAGAGAGCAAGAGTGCGCAATGAAGGCAAGTCGTGAATCTGCAGCATTAGTAATCATTTCCGGTTAGTAACATGGTTCCAAAGCAGGAACACTGACATTCATGACTTCGGGATATCGCAGTTGCAGACTACCTATGCAGTCAATATTACGCCTACTATGACAAGCACGGAAGACCGCGCTTGATGTCGGTGGCATAGCCTGCTGTTCTGCTTACTTTCGAGAGCTGGGTGAGCAATAGGACACCTTGAAATAGCTATACTTGTGTATGCAGTTGCCGATCAAGTGGTTTCGGCGCCTGGGGGCTGCTTTGTTCCCCTGCGTATCTTAGGTGTATCAGAGATGCTAGCATGCAGCCCCAGACCCTAAACCCGTAACCTAGCCTCGGCTTCTGACGTTCGAGAGTCGCACTGTGCGGCTTTGGGTCGGGCAATGCTTGAACAGTGTCTGCGTAGTGCAATCCAGTGGTAGCCCCTATACTGCCCTATACCTGCATAGTCTAATATGTCCCAACACCCTATTCCAGCCAGTATGATACTAGTATGCTCGCCATAATCAAGCCAGGCGTCATGTACATCGAAGAGGTCATCATTGATGGATTCAAGTCCTACTCCACGCGGGTGACTGTCGGACCCTTTGATCGGCAGTTCAATGCTATCACAGGCCTGCATGGGAGGGGAAATAGGTGTGCAGTCTTTGTGGCTCTAGGTTCGAAGGCAATTTGTCATGTTTTGGATGTGGGTGCTAAATTTTGGAGCGAGTATTGTCTTCGTCGTCTGGACGTCCCAACCCCTACGTCTGTCCTAAACCCGGGACGTCTTGTGATAACATCTGGCAGCCACGAGTTTTCCGCTGCGCCCCGAGGCCCCTTGTCATCTGGGTCGCTTGGTCCGGGGCACATTCACTGGAGCTACCGGCAAAAAAGTGTAGGGTTTAGGGCAGAAAATGCGACCCTGCAGAAACTCAGAAACACAGTGCGCACATCGAAAGAATACACGTTGAAGGGTCTGTAGGCTTCTTCGGTCCTTGCATGCAAACCTTACAAGGCGCATGAAACTCTTAAGTCACAGACCCATGTGAAGCCATCAGAGAAGCACGGAGCTTGTAAACCCCAAAATCCTAAATCCCTAGCCCTACTCTAGGATCCCTTATAAGCCCCAGTGTAGTGACACAAAACCCTAAGCCCCAAGGCAGGTAGGACCATCTCCCCTTTCCGGGCAGGTTTGAACGGCAGCGGGAAGTCGAACATCCTGGATTCGATTTGCTTTGTTCCTTGCCTTTCTTCAGTTATGTGGGGTTTAGGGTTTAGGGTTCAACGACGGAAGAAGTTTATGATAAGGTTTCCCATGTGATCCTTCCCCGGCTGCTTCAAGCCAGCAGAACCGTTGCCGCCACCGAAAACAATCACGCCAGCACGAACCTCAATAGTAGCCAAACGAACAAGAGAGACAAGAACGGCGGCAACAACAAGACGATCGAGAGCAAGGTCATCACCACTGTTCTAGCACTAGTACGCTTGCTGTTAGCACAAGTATTCATATTGCTGCTGCTGCTGCCTGTGCTGCTGCTGCTGCTGCTGCGACTGCGACTCGACAACGAAGCGACGACGATGCCTGCGACGACGACGACTACCGCCACTGCTATCGCTACCACAACCACTACCACTATGCCACTACCGCAACCACGACCACTAGCACTGCCAAATACCGCTATATACTACTACTAGTGCGACGAGGGCTATTGCGATCATGCGCTACAACTGTTGCTACTGCTGCTGATATCAGACCGACCCTGTCGAGCAGCTGTCCGTAGACACGTCGGAACAAACAAGCCTTAACCCCAAGGCCAAAAGGGTTTAGGGTTTAGGGTTTAGGGTTAGGCTCTAGCATCCCACAAGCCCCTAACTCTCTCACAGCTCAGGTTCTCGGCATCTCGAACTTGACTCAAGTCCGAGTCGGCAACCTCTCCGAGCTTGTCTACAAGCAGGGACAGGCTGTGTGCAGTGTTTCGCTGTTTCGTGTTGCTTGTGTAGAGAATTCGCGCTTTATGGGGTCTGCAGTTTAGTTCCAAGGTTTAGGTGAGCCTTACTTTGGCTATGTGGTTGTTTCAGGGTTTTACGAGGCCTATGCGTGGTTAAATGTAGGAGTCTGATAGAGCTCTTCAGTGTTTTCGGTTTCAAAGGCTCGGAGCTCGCAGGATCGTGGTCATCTGGGTTTAGGGTCAAGGGCGAAGCTATCGACGTTGCTCCTTGACCTGTAATGTAGGAACTTGACCAAGAAATCTGGCTCCATAACCCTAAAACAGTAGGATACATGTAAAGAACCCTAACAAAAGACCCAGTGTTTCTTAATCAGGTTCCTACATGAGTCCAGTGCTGAAAGTTTGCACTTTTTTTTTACCACGTGGGTAATTGGGCTGAGGAATGCCGGGGGTAAATCAGGCTGGGGTGGGGGTGACAGGCGGGCGTGACGAAAGCCAGCGTCACCGTCGTCTTCAACAACGAGGACAGGGCCCCGAAGAGGTACCTTAAGCGACGAGCCCCCGCCCTCCCCAAAGCCCGAAGCCCCTAACCCCTAAAACCCTAAACCCTAAACCCTGAACCCTAAACCCTAAACCCTAAACCCTAAAACCATAGAAACCCTGAAAGCCTGAAACTGAAACGGGACACCATGGCCAGAACACTTCCCGCCTTTCGGACTTCTGAGGACAAGCAAGCCAGCCCTGTGGGCTATGAGATGCACGACAAGATCATCATCACGAGGCAGATCGTGATCGGGCATGGGCTTTAAGGTTTAGGGTTTCCGAACCCTAAACCCTAAACCCTAAACCCATAAACCCTAAACCCCCTAAAACCCGTCAGTCAGCAGGCAGATCGTGATCGGGGGCCGGAATCGGTACCTCCTGAACTCGCACAACGTCCAGCAGAACCAGCTTCTGGGCTGATAAGGTTAGATTTTCTTACACTGGCTGATCTTTAGGTTTCAATTTTTGCCGGTGGGATCATCCTTTTGAATCATTTGCGTTGCGGTGTTTCCGTGGTTTCCTTTCGGGTTCAGGGCTCTGGAACAGTGGTTGAGGGCTCCGGTGTTGAAGGCTTGGGGTTGAGGGGTGGGGGGTTTGGGATTTAGGGCTTCAGGGTTTATGGCTTTAGGGTTTTAGGGTTTGAGGTTTAGGGTATTTACGGATCTAGCGAATTCAGGTTTGAGGTTTGGGTTTAGGGTAACTCCTTGCAGTCATGAAGCCTCACTAGACCATCCAGAAGCCACAATGACGTCGTCTTCCTCCCGCAGACGCTTGTGGAGCCTCCAGCCAGACCAGCAGACAAAGCCTCAATAAAACTGAACCCTCCCAAACCCTATACCTAAGCCCTAAACCCCCTATCTATATCTCTCTCTCTCTCTCTATATATATATATATATCAGCTCCACCTCCTTGAACAACCCTACATCAGCTCCCACCCCCTGAGCCACAAAGCCCCTGAAGTACTGCATCAACAGTACACCCTGAAAACCTCAAAGAACCGTCTTAAAGCCCTTATGTCCCAGAGCCCTAACAGCCCAGAAACCTGTTCACACCTCGGCCCTAAATCCTAAGCACGAAGCCCTGAAACCAGAAACACCCAAACTCGAGGATCCAAAATCTGTTCCATTCCGTGTCCCTGCGCCATGGCATTTTGTTAGGTTTGTGGGTTTCGCTGTGCGGTTTTAGGGATTTTGGCTTTAGAGTGCTAGGCTTGAATTGTTTGGATCCTGGGTTAGATTTTTCAGGGTTTCGGGTTAGGGTGGGCGTGTAGAGTGTAGAGTCCAGGGCTTGGAATTCAGAGGGCGTAGAGTTCAAGATTTGTGTTTAGTGGTTGGGGGTTGGCGTTTTGATTTTTCGGGCAGTTCAGTTAAGTTATAAACCCTAAACTCCAAACCTTAACCCATATAAGCCCTAAATTTCACACTAAACCCTACCCTACAAGCCCTAAACCCTGTAAACCCTAAACCCAGTTTCAGCGCCCTCGGCCTCCAACCTGTGCCGAGCCAAGGAATGTGAACAATCCTCACTTCCTCATCATGCAGGGCCGGATTACGAAGGTTATCAACATGAAGCCCCAGGACCCTCTTGTGATCCTTGGCTTTTGGGACTTGGGGTAGTTTTTGATCGTTGAGTTTAGGGTTCGGGGGTTGTGGCTTGGGGTTGAAGGGACTGGGGTGAATGGCCTAAACTAGCCGAAAAGGTTGGGGTTTCGAGGCGTCGCCTGTCACGTCTGGGACAGGAGACGCTCAGTATGATCGAGGAGGCTGCTGGTACCCGCATGTACGAGAACAAGAAGGCCTCAGAGAGGGCTTTGCTTTGTGTTTGTGAAGGCCCCCACACCGAAGCCGCAACTCCCAGTTTCAGGGCTTTCGGAATAGCGTCGACATCTTGTTTTCAAACCCCTCGTGCTCGGTTCAAGCCCTGACAGAGCGAGGAATATTGTAATGCAGGCCTGCATACTTTGTGCTTGTAATACTGCACCTCGAGCACGACTCCCAAAATGCTAGCATAAATATGCTTCAGGACAAATCGGGGGCGTGGCCACGACGCGCAGCTTTGGAGCTGTAGGGTTTTGGGGTTTGTCGTGCCGGTTTTGGGGCTTAATGAAATGTTTCCCGGACCCTATGACCCTTAAACCCTGAACCCGAAACCTTGAACCCTAAACCCTAAAACTTGAAACCCCAAGCCCCAAAACGTGGGATCCTCGGCCTCGCCCTGAACCCCTAAACCCCTAAACCCCTAAACCCCCGAACCCTCAAACCCCAAACCCTAAACCCCAAACCCTAAACCGTAGATCCTTTTTAGCAGGCCGGGGCCCTGAAAACCTTGGAGAAGAAGCAGAACAAGGCAAGGAAAGGGCCGCTTTTGTGCTATGGGGGGTTTCCGAAAATAGGGGACCCCAATATAGTACCCTAAATAGTAGGATCGATATTATAGGACCCCAAGATAAGGTACCCCCTATTTTCGGAAACTACCAGATTGGTTTTTGGCTTTTTCAGTGCTTTCTGCTTGATTTTTTTGGGCTTTTTTGGGGGGCTGAAACAAGGGTTGTTTAAGGATCTTAGGGTCTTGTTGAGGGGATTTAGGGCTTTATTTTAGGCTTCAGAGCTGAACCGTTTCAGCGGGTTTTGGGGGCCTTAAGGCCTTACTAGAGATGTAGGGCAGGGTTTAGGGCACTTCTGACAGACATTGGCTTCATGTGGCTTGTTTTGACAGGGCCGAAGCTCAGTTAGGGCTGAGGATTTGGGGTTTGGGAGGGTTGAGGGCGGCGTGCTGTCGGATGGTGTTTCAGGAAGTATCTGCGAACCCCTTCATTTCCCAAACCCTACACCTAGACCTAAACCCCTAAGCCGTGAAAGAGTACCTGGACGCCCCAAACTGCCTGTCTATTGCAGCCTGAATAGACGCTGTTGAAGGCTACAGGGCTGGATGCCAGGTCCTACAAACCAGTCATAATTTAAGCCCTAAGCCCTAAGCCCTAAACCCTGAACCCTAAAACCCTAAACCCCTAGACCCTAAACCCTAAAAAGCCCACCCTAAACCCTAAACCCTAAACCCTAAACCCTAAACCCTAAACCCTAAACTCCTAAACCCCTAAACCCTAAACCCTAAACCCAAAAAACCAAAAAGCCCTTCAAAGCGTGGAAAGATCCTCAAACCCCCAGAGACTTGACGAGCCGGAGCCAGGCCCCTTGCGAAAGCACCAACCAACCAGCTTCAACTCTACACCCCGGTTTAGGGTTTAGGGTTTAGCGGTTAGGGTTTAGGGAATTAGGGTTTAGGGTTTAGGGATTAGGGTTTAGGGTTTAGGATTTAGGGATTAGGGTTTAGGGTTTAGGGGAACAAAAATCCCTAGAACCTTAGAGAACCCTTCTTTTGAGCTTTTTAAAGAAGCCCTCTGGAATCCCTTATATAGAGCCCTCAGAGACAAACATCCTGAGAACCTTTAGAGAACCCTTCTTTTGAACTTTTTACAGAAGCCCTCTAGAATCCCTTATATAGAGCCCTCTGTAGAAGTCCAGGTCGATGAGATCAACCGCCTCCTCTCCGAGGAGATCACGCCGACCTTGGAGAAACTCCAGAAGGAGCGATCCAACTACATGCGACCGGGGCGGAAGAGGAGTTTTCGGTTTTGGGCTTTGGGTTTTGAGCTTGGGGTTTTCGTTGGTCTTGGGCTTCGGGTTTAGAACTTAGGCTCTTGGGTTTAGGATTTTTGGGTGAGTTCCATTGGATAGCTGGGGTTTGGGATTTTCAGGGTCCGTTGTTTAGGGTTTAGGTTTCAGCGCTGGCACGCCCCAGCTCTGGATCATATACTTCTAAATAGCCCCAGGCTGCCAAACCAACAAACCAACACCCCAAGCCCGAAACCCGAAACCTAGAATCAGCAGACCGGAGCCCCACACCTTTGCGCACCCTAAACCCTAAACCCCAAGAAGAGCGGAAGGACAAGCTACACCCTAGCCCTAAACCCGATCCCCTTCTAGAGAGCTCTTATGGCCCTTTAAAGCGAAGCGATACTGGATACTTGGGCCATCATCGAGGGTGGGGAGGGTGTGCCGAAATTACGTGTGGCTCCTTATCTTAAGCGTTAAACTCAAAACCCTTATAACTTATAACACCTTGAGAAGCCTTGCACTGTTGTTTTGGCTTAACCCTAAACCCTAAACCCAAAACCCGGAACCCAAAACCCAAAACCCTAAACCCAAAACCCTAAACCCCAAACCCTAAGCCCTAAAACCTAAACCCTAAACCCTAAACCCTAAAACAGCCCTAAACCCCCAAAAGCCCTTTCTTCCTTATTATTTTTTCAGTATAGTATACCCCAAAACCCTATTCTCATTATTAAGGCCCCTACATTACACAAGCTTTCAGTGGTACACCTGAGGCTATGGGTCTCCAACAACAACGAAATTGAGCGCCTCGAGCGCTTCTGTGCTACCCGGGCAGGAAAAGAACTTGTTGTGTTTTTTTTTGCTGTTTCAAGTTTTTTTTTTTTTTTCGGTGGCTTTTGTGTGTGTTTTTGGGTGTGTGCGTGTGTGTGTGTGTGTAAGTATAAGTTTCTTGGGTTTCGCTTCATCTTTGCCTTGCAAGAGATTCTATCTGATCCTGCTTTTGATTTTGAAGGGTCCGATAGAGGTTTTCCTAGGCATGTTTTGATGCATACGGGGATGTGTTTTTTTCGACTCATCCGAACAATTCCGGCTCTTTTGCCTAAACCCTAGACCCTAAACCCTGTGTCTTTTGTTGGGGGTAGGTCTGCTATATTTTGTTGGGTTGCTCTGACGCCCGCTGTTCTTTGAGATTCTGTTGCGTCCCTTCTTGGAGCTGTAGTGATGCGTCACTCACTTGTTTGGGAGTTTCCGAAAAAAGGAAACCCTAAACCCTAAACCCTAAATAGTAGGATCAGGCTACCCCTTATTCTCGGAATTTCCCGTTTGAAGAGCTTAGTATTAGGGGGCTTGCCAAACACAAGCTCTGAGGTCGCCTACGAGTACGTGCAGTTCAAGAACCGCCTGGAGAACAAGAATCAGCAGCTCGAGGAGATGGAGGTGCCGGCCGAATGGGTAGCACATTCGTACTTGCAGACACATATGCACATATGTCTCCAGAGAATATGTTTGCATGCATGCATGCATGCATGCATGCATGCATGCATGCATGCATGCATGCATGCATGTATATACATACATACGTATGTATGTATGTATGTATGTATGTATATATGTATGTATGCATGCACGTATGCATGTATGCATGTAGCCATGGATGGATGCATGTATGCCAGCAAGTATGTATGCATGCACGATGCATGTATGCATGGATGGATGCATATGTGCAAGCATGTATGTATTCATGCATGCATGGGTGGATGGATACATGTATGTATGCGTGAACGATGCATGTATGCATGTATGCATGGATGGATGCATGCATGCATGCATGCATGTATGTGAGTATTAACGTGGTGTGAAATAATGCAATGTAATTATTGTATGTTCGTAATGTATGTAATGTATGTAATGTGTATAATGTATGTACTGTACATAAATTTTAATGTAATGTAATGTAATGTATTGCAATGTATTGTATTGTACTGCATTGTAATGCATTGTAATGTATTGTAACGTATTGTACTGTATTGTAATGTATCGTAATGTGCTGTATAATGTATTGTAATGTATTGTAATGTAATGTATTGTAACTTATGTATGTATGCATGTATGCATGCACGCATGCATGCACGGACGGACGTACGTACGTACGTACGTACGTACGTACGTATGTATGTATGTATGTATGTATGAATGATTGTATGTACATACATACGTATGTATGTATGTATGTATGTATGTATGTATGTATGTATTATGTATGTATGTGTATGTATGTTTGTATGTAGTATGCATGCGCGTATGCAGTCTTGGTGATCATTATTATTTTCCTTATTGTTGCTGTTCTTATTCTTGCTGTTATCGTTATTGTTGTGATTATTTTGAATTTTCGGCGAAAACACGCAGAAAATCTCGTGCTGTTGCCATGTCAGGAGACCCTTGGGCAGCTCGTCTCGGCGGTGAAGGCCCTCATCGAGAGGGACGCTGCCATCAACAAGGAGGCAGGAGAAGTAGGATTTCGCGATT